CAGCAAGCACAAAACAACACCTCCAGGACAGACTGATCAGCCCTATACTTTATGGAAACAAAACTGTCACTGACGTGTAATCTGCTAGCACAGATCAATATAAGGTACCTATTTTAATGCAAAAGAATTATATTAAATTTCTGATATACCAGATGCAAAATGCTTCAGAACCACTTAAATAAATCAAGTGATGGTATCATTCTGCTTGGGCCACTTTCCTAGTTCCTCTGTTTACATCCTCAAAATGATGTAACTTTGTAACTTTTTCATTGGTGCCCAGCAGTATAGTTTCATAGCACTGACTGTAAGCACAATTTGAGAGACCGCTGGGCACAACATTACTGTCAACAGACAGAAAGTATTTTGGACTAGAACAAAAAACATCCACAAACGCATCCATTACTGCAGTCATAAAACTGAAGGACTTTCACCAGAGCGGAAACAGCTCTTCCTCATCTGTGGGCCACATTTCAGGTGCTTTCAGAAAGGACTAACAGAAGGACTTCTACAGGAGGCTAAAGCTTCCATATATACATCGTTTCTACAACTGGAACAGAACAATACTCCTTTCTCTGTAGAATACCCAGAGAATGACTGTTGCATATTCTGCAATCTTTATTGACTCCTGAACACATAACACTTTTGTTCCAACTTAACAACCCTTATCTAGAGTCTTTTAATTGTCTGGGCCCAACAATCTACACTTTTTCTTCCCATTTTCTATCAGCTAACATGAGGCAAAATGTTCCACAAAATCTTCTGCTAAGCAGTTGTTCATTTGGCTTTATGTGTTTACTATTCAAATTACTTTCAAAGTTAAGAGCCAGAAGCATCAATAGTTCAGAACTACTTCTAAACAATAAAGCATTATTCACAGTGTGAAAAGTCCTGCACAGTATTTAAACACAAACTACTGTGGCAGTAACAAGTTGGCTGTTACCTGGGTCGAGTGCCTCGGCCACTCTCACATTTTGTTAGCACGTAATTCATCCATTTTCTGGCAAAGCTGATATACTTGTCTCCGATTTTCTGCCTGAATTCTCCAGACATCAGACGAACAACTTCTTTATGGTACTGTAAGAAACTAAAGATTACTTTTCACGTATTAATAAGAACAACAAAAATACCATTTGCAATATTCACTGGAATATTTGCAGGCTAACAAAACTCTACAGTATGGTAACAGTCACATCCTATTCTTAGACATAATGATTTTATGTAAGCAGCTGCATATTTATAGAAAAAAAATGAAAAAGTATATGATACAGAATATGTTATAGTGAGAGGCAGTACTTGAGACATATTACATTCTGGTGTATATACGGGCATGTGCTGATGTTTAACAGTGTACACATCATTTAAGAAACATCCTACATAAATGCTCAGTTCTGTAATCAGAGATTGAACCGCAAAGCTGTGTTTATTTTCAGTTATAATGCAGGTAACATTAGGGGATAGAGGAGTTATATATGCATATTTAAAAAATTAAACAGAAATACCAGCTGTTTTTTTGAAGGCTATCCTTAGAAGCATATTAGGGTATGATACAATCTTAAAAAAATTTACAAAGCTCACAGGAATCAAATACTGAAACAGTATACTAAAAGCATCTGAACATGACATTTCCTCATCAGCACTCTCAGGGAAGTACTCAAAAGCTATATTCACTTTATCAAAGAACCACCATAAACTTTGAAAGCACGGCTCATATTACACTGTTATGCTATTCTAGGCTGAAAAACTGTGAGAAACCAAGTTACACAGTGACATTCAATATCAAAGGATATTTCTAATTTAATCTAAAATACTGCCAAGTAGCAGAGCCTACAAGACTACACCTGAACTCATCAAGTTCTTAAAGCTTTTTAGAGTTCCAGATATGGCTGACTGGAGTCTGAATTTAATCTATCTAGCTGTTCTTTTTCAATCATTTTCACGTAAGATTTCTGTGGCAACATGGTTTTTTTATGATGTTTGCACCAATGCAGAAACAGACATTTCCATTTTTTTTTTTTACCAAAACTACAAAACAAATATGTCAGTAAGTTTTTGTTTCCTTACCTCAAACCCAAAATTATAACCCTGAATCATGGCTTCCCGGTAGTATTGCTGCAAAGTGGCAGATTCAGATTCATCAACTTCAGCATCAAACTCAGATGTGAACATGTGATCAACTCTATCAATGGCACTGCTTATCTTATTGCATAGCTGTAATGCATCACTCTGAATAACAACAAAAAGGGATGGGGGGGGGGAGCATCAAATTATTATTTATATTCTACAGTTGACAAGACTAAGGCAAACATGAATCTAAGAATTACATTATTTTAAATGGCAATGTACTTTAATGCCATCACAATTCATTCCATCTTGGAAAAACAAACACTTTCCAGCAGTTGCACTAATCAAGTCTTGTAATTAACTGTAATTAAGTTTGTTTGCTTGAGTGAGATTAACTTTAAAAACAAAGACAGTGAAGGGGAGGGGGGAGGGAGGAGGACACCCAACCAGAAACACCCAACCAAAAGCAGACAGACAAGAATAGAGAAAATGTTTTTACAGATAGTTTTACTATCCATAACGTGACCAAGCCTTTGGTTGTATTTTCACCCTGGTATGTGGGCACAGCTTCTATTGAACTCAAGGGGAAATGTAGGGACCTGATATTGCAACTTCAACCTAACAAATCTTTGCTTTTCTGGGTCCCCCGAAAGAATCAACCAAACAAAACAAACAAACAAAAAAACACCAAAGGAAACCCTCATCCAACAAAAATAATAATAATAAAAAAAAACCCACCCACACCAAAAACAAGAGCGAAATAGCCAGAAAGACCTATGCACTTTTACATCACAAAAAACATGTGGACATGGCACTCTGGGACATGGTTTGGTAGGCATGGTGGTGCTGGGTTGATGGTTGGACTGATGAGGTCCTTTCCAACCTTAATGTTTGCTAGTTTTACTCATTAAAAAGTAATCCAGCCACCAAGCCAGAAAACATGAAATTATTATTACTCTACCCTTAATTGGTTTAGTGGTGGACTTGGTAGCATTAGGTTAATGGTTGGACTTGATGATCTTAAAGGTCTTTTCCAACCTACACAATTCTATGATTCCATCATCTCCAAATATGGGAAAAAAGCTGTTTCTTGCAGATCATGTATTTTTATAGAATTTATTTTTATTAAATCAAACACTTCCTTTCAGTTCAATAGTAGTTTCATATGAAGATGTATTTATTCTGTTGCTATTAATATTTCTATTGCATTATGGACTTGTTTCCCACTTAGCCAGTGCAAAAATGATTACACCAATACTGCTCAAAAATACTCACAAATCCTTTGCAAAAACAGAATGAAAATTGTACTGAACGTGAAGTCCATAGAGGTTGCATAAATTACAATTGCAAAATATGTCATTAGCATTGAAATCAAGTCTCCTTACGTTTTTTTTACTTATCAGTGAGGAAAGCACCATCAATTTTGACTGAGATAATCTCAAAAACTGCTTACCTTTAGCTGTTGTAGAGCTCTGGCGATGACTGGTTGGCTGGATGTCTGTTCCTGGTGCAGAGATATGAGCCCTTCAATAGACTGCTGGAAAGCTTTTCTCTGACTCACGAGGTGGGCAGATTGAATGACTACAAGGAGGAGGTTATCAACCTAGGAATACAAGATACCCCTAGTTCTTATAAACAAGATCCTCTCTATAAAAACATGTCCTGTATGAGCAAATTTCAACTCGTTATTTTTTAATTCTAAAATACGAAAGCCCTCTCTCGTCATTATTCATGAAAATTTTTCATTCACACATAACAGCTTGATGCTGGCAACTGCACTTGATAAATTCTCATCTTATGAGTAGAGCTCTATTAGTGCAAATGCCACAGCAAGTTTTCAAGGGCAATATACTCCTATTCACTTCTGGGAAGGTTTGGGAAACACTGTATTAAAATTACCTTCAGAATAGTTATAAACAGAAAGGCAACATCTAAGCAAAATAATAATATCTTCTCAAAGCAGATGGAAGTAACAACCATCACATAAATAAGCAGGTTTTATCCAAGTAATGTAACACACTTCAGGACAAAAACCTGCTGTTCAACAGGGAGAGCAATAGATTTACCACACAGTATTTGCTCAGATTTTGAAAATTATTAAAGTGTAAGAATATGTTTTGGAAACCAGAGCTCTGATATTGCAGAAGTCTATAAAAGTACACAGTCACAGATGGTGTTGCCTTTGCTGTAACACTATGAGTCACATACTAAGCTCTGTTGATTTCCAACTACAGACAATGCATCTGCAGCGAGTTACTCACAAAACAAGATCTACTTCATCCAGATTTTCAATACCTCATCCCCAAAGAATATTGTCATGCTCAAAATTCTTTAAATGTTGATGAGATTCTTCTATTTTATGAATACTTTTTAAATAACACCTTACATTTTGTCTAGTTTGCAATCAAAACATTTTTTTAAAACATAGGACACCTTTCTGAAGGACTCTACTTTATAACCTTTCAATATTGGATTTTAAAAAATTATTAAACAGTGTTATACACATACAAACACATACACATACACAGTGTTTTATGTGCACTTCCATAGGTCAGATAGAATACCATTTGCAAACCAAATTCCACCTTTTGCAGTTTCTGAATGAAATGCTAACTTTGATAGAAGTCCAATGAAATTTGAAGCGCTTAATCAAAGGCTATTTTTTTATTGTTCAGTCTGGAAGAAGTAACATGCTTGCATATTAAAAACAGCAGTAGAAGTATGTACAGGAGTGACTTTTTCAATGGCCTGTAATTGCTAGAGCTCTCTGAATGCTAGAGGCCAGGCACAGTGACATGGAAAGTCACTGTTCATGGACAGTAGAGCCCATTTATGGTAGGGATCCAAGGGATCCAAGGAACTGCATGACATACCAAAAGGAAAATTCACTTAGCTTAACTTAAAGATATGAGAACAGGAGGGGCAGGGAGCTGCAGCTGGCTCAGTTGCTAGAGCACAGCAGAACTGCTGGCAGGGAACCCCTGTTGGCTTGGGATGAAGGAAAGTATGACGGGAAAGATTTCTTCCTGCTACAGTAGCTTCCACAGAAATTTAACTTGAAATGTCACAATTCATCCAAGATTGAAAGCAACTGGTTTCATGCCTCAGTGTGTGCAAAGCACACAAACTCCACACATTCCTGAGGACCGGTGACTTAATAAAACAGACAGTTTTCAAGTCCTATCCCCACTTCTGATACTGAGCACCCAACTGGATATTGAAAGTATCTCTTTATTATACAAGTCCAACCCTGAAAAATGCACATTGTAGAGATTAATTCTAAGAAACGCTAAAATCCATTTAATACTTGCATTAACACAACTAAGAAGCAATCCTATCCTTGAATTTAACTTTTTATTACCTATAAAAAGACACACGCCTCACAAATTACCGTGGGTCAATCTGAAAGGATAAGCATTCATAGAAGTGTGGGGATCACATAAACAGGGGGGAAAAAAAATAACAAAACCAAAACCCACCTGCATGGTGCGCAGTGTATCAACAGTTTCTACTTGTGGCACTACTTTGACCGGCTGACCCTCCCATGCATTCCAGCTGTCATCTAATTCATGGTCTTTATCACTGTGTTTGGTCATTAGTAAATAGGCCTCATATGCAACCTCATCTGAATCCTTTGAGCAATCCTTTCCAGCAGCTGCATTAAGGAGCTGCAAAATCACAGATTTTTCCCCTGCAATACTATTTGGTACAAATACTTGTAAACTCTCGAGTCCAGGGATTTGTACCTGTAGAAGAAATTAGAAGTATACTGAATGAGTGAATCTCACCATCTTCCATGATACATAAAATATAAAATAGACATATTTCATCTCATTTAAGCAACAGGGAGCGTTTCCATCAACAGCTGTACAATGTACATACTGAAGCAATACATTCAGCCACTTTTGCACTAAAAGTCAAAATGCATTATAAGAAGTTATTTGTTTTGAAATCTGCTAGATCACCAACTTCCAGTGACATCCATCCTTGCACCTTCAACTGATCCTTCTACATATTCTTCTAAAGGAATCTTGTTACAAAAAAGACCGATTTCACATATATACTATATATGTATGTATAAAATACATTTAAAAAAGTAATTTAGTCAAGACTAATTTGAGACTTACGAAGCACACATTTTTAAGACTGGAATATTAAAAAAAAAAAAAAAAATCCTTCAGGATCTCTAAGAATCCACATAACATTTCTCAATGGCTACAAGAGATAAGAGTAAGCAAAAATATGGCTAAAAAAATACCAGTTATTCTTTTACTATTCATGAAAGATAGATTAATTAAGTCTAGCAAGAGTGTTCTCTTTTAATAAAATACTATTTATACTACTTAAAAACTAGTTCTGCATTCTATCTGTCACATTGTTAACAATACCTTAACCAAGTCAGGCATCAGAATCAGACTGTGAAAACACTAAAATAGTTGATACCTGTGATTTGACATGACATAACTGATTTATAGTGAAGTTTAATTCTTTTCAGAGGTTCATGTCATCAAGATAAGACAAAACACTGCACTCAACATTTTTTACCATTAGGCAGCCATAATTTATAATTAAAACTATTATAATCTATAGGTCAATGTAAAAACTAGATGGTTGTAACTGAAAGCTAATATAGTTTCCCAAAACTAATGAGCAACTGATTGAAAAGGCTGTTAAAAAATTTTAACTCCCTACATGACATTAGAGGGCCAATATATGAAGTGTTAATCACCAAAATGTGTGTCACTGAGTGCTGAAAAAAAGGGGAGAGGTAAATACATGAAGTGGGATAAATCTTGAGATCCAAATAATTTATCTAGATTATTTAACCCATGTGCTTACACAGATATTTTTCAAATCCAAGATGCAATTTTTTTCTTTAAAACATGTACATAAAACCAATGATACTATCTTTAACTAAAAGGTCTGCCAAATTTAATATTGTGTCTTAAAGCAGCCAAGAGTGGATACCTGGGGAAAAATATTTTTTAAAAAGTAAACATATACTGATTTCCCTGACTATTCTCCCACTCTTAAACAATTCACAGAACAGGGTCCTGCTGAGCCAGATGTTTCATCCATGTATTTAACAACCCTTTATGAACTTCTCTCCTATGAACTTGTCGGTCTCCCCCAAACCAATTTCTACTTTTAGCAATCATTTATGTAAATCTAACACAAATTTTGTCATGCAAAAGTTAGTAGATTATTTCCCAATTAGGAATTATATATATTAAGTGTATGGAAGGACAAAAAAGAACAGCAAATCCAAATAAATTTAATCTGTTGAAGCAATTGATTTACTTAAATTCAAACTACAATACAGATTTGTTGATCTAGGAATTTTTAAGGAATACAGTGCAAAACCATCAGTGTGGGCATTTAGGGCGCAGTAAATACAAGGCACAGAGAGTTTAACCTACTTTTGCTGTACAACAGTTTTCCAGCAACAGTTATTCTGGAACAGAACACAGGCCCTGCATGCCTCACATCCTCAGTACTCTCAATGAAGCTTGCTAGAGCAGGCCTCCACTATAACATTGTTGCTTTATAAAAGCACACAAAACACAGGTCCATAGTCTGAGATTATCTACTTAAACATGTCCATTTACTGATACATCTGTTTACCTGCAACTTTAAAGCATTTATTTTTCATAACGCTCCCCACTAAGCATTATTGCTCCCCTCTCACAAATGAGTAAGTACTATTGAAGCAAAATGGCTTTTCTGAAGTCACAAAGAGAATCTTTGGGAAGACAAAGAATTAGAGATTGCTAGTCTGTGTTTTGGGAAATCAATCTCACTCACACAAACACAGGTACAGAAAATAATTTGACTGCCACAATTCAATATTAAATCCGTGACATTTTAAATGTTGAGATATAGATGCCACATTAAAAACGAGTAAGTATGTCAGTAAATATCCTTTGACATTTTGCTTAGCATCCCCACTCTACTTTCAGGCCTCTAGACCGAATTTACCTTCGCATACTCTTTTGTTTTCAGAGCATTCAGAAGATCTCGCACAGGGGCTGACAGAGCAAATTCTGCTGCTATTTCAAGGTCCTACAAGTAATGACAAAATAAAAGAATATGCTTTCAGACTAAGTTTCTTTAAAGCCTATAAATAAGATGAGACTCTACTGTTAACTTACCTTCCTCAGCATTTTAGCAAAACCAAGAGCTTTGGAGGCCCTTTCTCTAGCTTCATGAAACAGTTCTTTGAGTGCTCGGCTGGTCTCTATAACAGACCTCCTGAAACATTGGTAAGAATGAAGTGACAATGTTTTAATAAGTCATATTACATTTTTATAGCTATTAGAAAATAAGAATTATTTAAATATATGTCAATAGAAAGAGCATAGAGAAGAAATAAGTACAAGCAGATGACTGAAATAAATTTAACTTGCGCAGGCACATTTTTGATAAGGATATAAAAATTAAATTTAAATTTAATGAATAAACAATCTCTCATACCCTGAACTAAAAAAAAAAGTTACTAGGCTTCAAACAAATAAAATGATGGTTCATTACTACTGCATACAGAAATATCAGCAATAAAGTCTACGGAGTCTTGCACTTACGAAGTCTTCATTCTAAGAAATAAAATGCAGTATGTACCTGTCAGGGGTATAGAAACGTGAGTAAGTGTGTTTATTATTATTATTAAGCCGAAGGCTTAATACCTGATTTCATCTGATGCAGTACTGTCATCGGCACTGGCCCAAAATTCATCACAACTGTCTTGTAGTCCAGAATCTAAAAATATTCCTGTAGATTTAGGAAGCATTACTGCAATATCACAGTAGCAACAGAAATGGTGGAACTTCAGAGTCTTATTCAGGTAGCATGGTACCTTGAACTTCTTCCTACTCTGTCCAACGCAAGAGAGCCGCATTGCCAAGTCCGCCTGCAGAAACAAGCAGCATCTTGGGGGCCCTCAGTTACTCTATGTGCACAGCACTAGCAGGAACGGGGACTTTCCACAGAAGCAGTCATTCCTGTTATAGCTAGAGTAAGAGCAATCTGTGCTTACTGCATCCTGTAACCACAGTCATTGTAATAATCCATAAATTCACCAAGACTATCAGCTGCTTACTGAGGCCTCAAGAAGCCCAATCTGGGAACCCTGAACAAGTGCTGACTCGTATCCAGTATAAATCAACACCAGAAGCAGAGTAATTAAATAAAACCTACCAGAATAGCTTTCCAGCTTGAGCTTCACCTCCTCTTATATAAGGAGTTATTTCTTTGGTGAAATTCCATTCTTCCTCCAACAGATTTTTTAAACTATGAGACGCTTGAGGTAACTGCTGTAGCATTTGGATCCAGCTTCGCATATAATCAAAGTAAACCTGTACATGGAAAGAGATAATTTAAACAGAAATTGTTACACAACATGTAACTAAGGACTACAGCTTCTCAAATGAACAAACAATCTCAATATTATACAATTTGTAGAAAATATTTCTACAACATGTTTCATTTGCTATTACTGAAAATGAGCTACATGTTTCCACGCAAAAGGTACAATTTATGGCTCAGGAAGTAGAAAGTGCTACTGAAGTATTAAATGCTATGTTTCCATGATACTTTTCTGAAAACATTGATGGTATCACCACCTTGCTTGCTGTGCTGCTATTCACCATTGTATCAGTGAATACCCACACTGGCCAGAGTTTTTCAAGCTGACCTACTGAAAACCAGTTTCTAAATCTTCTAACTGGATTACTCCAAAAGGTTTTATCTGAACATATCCTCCTGGATACAGACAAGTGCAGTGAACAGGCTTCTCAGATTCTACATTATACTTTGTGTTCCTTTATATCAAGTCTTATCTCTCACCTTTATTTAATTATTATTGTTCTAAACCAACATAAAAATCCAGGTAAGTACAATTTTTCTTCAAACATCTGCCCTTCAGGACCATACTGAATGCAAAAAGTAGCTGCAATTTGCTTTAGTTCAATAATCCTTAACATCAAGAAACATCCCTCCTTGGAAATGATTAAGACACTTCCTATTGGTTTCAGGTATTTTCATACCACACTGTGATAATGCCAAGATCATAGAATCATAGAATGGTTTGGGCTGGAAGGGACCTTAAAGATCATCTAGTTCCAACCCTCCTACCATGGGCAGGGACACCTCCCACTAGATCAGGTTGCTCAAAGCCTCATCCAGCCTGACCTTTAACACTGCCAGGGATGGGGCATCCACAACTTCTCTGGGCAACCTGTTCCAGTGTCTCACCACCCTCACAGTAAGGAATTTCTTCCTAATATCTAACCTAAATGTACACTCCTTCATTTTAAAACCATTACTCCTCGTCCTATCATGATACTCCCTGATAAGGAGTCCCTCCCATCTTTCCTGTAGGCCCCCTTTAAGTACTGGAAGGCTGCTGTAAGGTCTCCCCCGAGCTTTCTCTTCTCTAGGCTGAACAACCCCAACTCTCTCACAGGGGAGATGTTCCAGCCCCCTGATCATCTTTGTGGCTCTCCTCTGGACCCACTTTAGCAGGTCCATGTTTTTCTTATGCTGGGGGGCCCCAGAGCTAAACACAGTACTCCAAGTGGGGTCTCACGAGAGTGGAGCAGATCCAGAGTACCTTAAAACTCTACTCTAGGTTAGGTAGGTACTGTGTTCTGATAGTCCCAGGCTGTAGCCCCATTCTTGACTTTAATTCACTTTTCACTCTCAGCCTAATTCCTCTTCCAGTATTCTTCTTAGCTACCTTGCCTGCCTATACAAGGAGTCCCCAGGAAAGGACAAAGTTCCACCCTCCTCCCCTCATTAATGCTGTCTTAACCTTCTGATTTTGTACAAGTTTTCCCTATCCCTATTTTCAGTCCAGATCATCTCTTCAGCTCTCTTTGCCCAGCTGTCCCAATCTTCTGACAATTTTGACCATTCATCCAATCTTTCTCCCCTGCTGCTGGCGCTACAGTGATGCACAACTCTGAACAGGCACAAACTGTGATTCTTTGAAGTCTGATATATGTATTTCTATTTACACAGTCTTGTTACCATCCCTTTCAAGACCTACCAAAAGGAAAATACTTACACAATTAAAACCACTGCCAAAGTTCAAGCTCTTGCCTCAAAGCACAAAAACATTACAGCTACCTTAAAAAACAGGTAAGGAATTTCAAAGTGGACAAGATGAACCAAATGTTTTCCTTTCATCTAACCCGGTCATTTCTGCTAGAATTTCTAGAAATTTCAGATGGAGATGAAGGCAGGCACACAGCATAAGAAACTTCATGTAAAACATTGCCTACAATGCTGAAAGTGTAATGAAAAGCATGTAGTAGGAAAATCCATGCGCATTCAACAATAGATGGTACCAACAGCTCTGCTGACAAAACACTAGTGATGAGGTATTGAGGTGTATCTCTGGGTTTTTCCCCCCCCCCAGAATAGTGAGGACGAAGCTCAAACAACTCACAAAGGAATAAAGATCAGTCACATCCAAGGGAACAGTAATTTAAACTAAGTTTAGTAAAGAATATTTCATTTAATATCTTTCAGAGACCACATATATGTCTTGAAAATACTTCTTTGTGTTTAAGTTATTGCAACAATGAATACACATTAAAAATAAGGTATCATTAATGGATGAATGCAATACCAAGATATTAAGACATGATGTTAGTCAAACAATTGTATTTATTTTTTTATTCAACACTAAAAGGTTATTAAAAGTTTAGTTTAAATGTATGGAATTTACAGTTCTATTTATGAACCACTTTATTGTAAACACAGGCAATTTACAAGTATACTGTACCACAGTCCAGTAAACAAAAATCAGTATTGCTAAAATCATTGCTAAAATGGCAATGGCTACTATGTTACCTTTACAAGTCCATTAAAACAATAAAATTATGTTAAAGTAGCACAACAAGAAAAAAATTAGCAAGACCTATACCCAACAGGGACAACAGATTTCTATTAGCAGCATTCAGATTAATACACTTACTAGAACTCCAAATATTTTCTCCTTTTTGAAGCTTACCATTAACATTTTATGCAGGTCCTCTTCAAAAGAATCAATGTTACAATCAATCTTTTGTAAGTCATCTAACACTTCCCGTAACATAAACTGGTAATATTGCTTCATTAACAGGCCACCCTTCAGAACCTCTTTACACTCTCTCACTAGCTGCAAGAGAAAAACCCAAAAACCGCCATCAGTCAAGACATTACTCTTAAATTCTCCCTGGGAAGTGAAAACTTAATTTGCTAGTCCAGTTTCTCTAAACATTGTAGTTTATCATTACATAATTTCTACAGTTTTCAGAAATGCATACAGTTCCTCTACACATCTGCAGGAAAGATTTTACTAGTTTTCCAGCACTATTTAATCGCCATCATGCCATTTGCCACACAGCTGTAAATGGAGACACAGGCAGACGTTTCAGACTTCATTCCCCGCACATCACCACAGCAAGCAACTTACTGGATAGTTAATAAGTTTAGAAGTGGGCAAGAGGGCTCACAATCATCAAGTCACCAGTGTAAATGGAAGTAGGTCAACAATAATATGCCATGTGTTTGACAGAAGCTTAGAGCCCTGTGAGAAATGTTTTACTACAGGAAATTCACTGTCAATCTGTTGGGCAGGTGTCCACAACTCTAAAACCTGTACCGGACCTGAAAACAGTTGGTGTTTCTTTTGTTGTTTCCCTCGCACAGCTAGCACAAGGAAAGTTACCTTTTCAACTGCAGACGTGGTCACTCTTGGCCAAACGGCTGGCACCCCTCCCTGAAAGCTTACAACTTTCATTTATTTGAAGAAACATGCACAACCACAGACATAGGAGTACACAAACAGCAAGAACAGTTTCAAACCTACACTAACAGACATCTTTTTTTCAGAAGTCCTTCCAGAGCTAAGTGTGTATTCTTCTGAAATTATCAGTCTCCAGATCTGACAACCCCTAACTTTTTCTGAGCAACAACTTCATTAAATCGAGAGTCTGAGAGGAAGAGAGGGGTTCATTTGGAGGGTCAGAGGGAATGGAATTGTTGGTTGGTTAATCCGCTTTTCAAAATCTTGTATAACGGCTATTCTGGCAAAATAATATATCAATATAGTGGACGCAATGCATAAGAAGTTATAATGGCATTAAAGCAAGAAACATACAATAATGTTATTAATATGACAAGAGTCTTTGGAATCTTTTATAGGCCAGAGCACACTACACTGTACTCCCCTACTTGCAGGGGAAACAAGGATAATATTCTGAACTCTGTAGTTTAAATCTTACCAATAGTTAGTTGAAAAATAAAAAATTACCACTTTTTTTCCTAAGGTAGAAATCTAATAATTACACATTTATATCCCTAATATGTCATATATTTAAAAATGAATGTGCATTCTTCACTCTCCACTCAATCACATCCAGTGTACTCTGTGTTAACCTACTGGGGTTTTTTGCCCGTGGATCCACAAAGAAAAACACAACTTGTTCGAAGGGTTTAAAATTGGTATTTAACTACCCGTTACTCAGAGACAGATGGGACTTGGCAGTATCACTTGTCCATAAAACTTTACTATATAGTTTGGCATATCTTACAGATACAAGCAAAGTTCACTTCTAAAACTTGCAAAGAGTAACATTTGTCTATTCCAAAATAAAATACTCTCAAAACTTCATTAAAAATAGAGATTTTTTTTTTTGTTGTTTAAGTAACACTGCTATACAGTGATGTGTAGTGTGACTGAATAACAGAATATAAGATTTACAAAAAAACCCTGTAGTGCTAATTTTCAGTGTCAACTTTTGGAACTGAAACTCACAAGGCAATAGGCAAACAAAAAATATGGTCTATAATGAGCACACTAAAGAATGTGTGTATATATATCCATACCCAATACACAAAACCTGATTAAGAGGAACACAGTAACTAGTCAGTACATTGTGGCCTTGCTCCAAATGGTGTCAGTCACCTATCAGAAACCAGGTAGGTGTGACTTTTCACTTTTCAATTAGATCAGACTACCTTAGAGTTAATGCATGACAAATGACAATAACAGACCATAAGCAGTCTGCACAAAATGTTGATGGCTGACATAAGGACTGCTGACCCAAAAATTCCAGGAGGTATCACGAGCTGCTAAGATCATCTAGACAGAGTGCTGATGATCAGATGTGGTTTTCCCCATCCAAACACACATCCTTTAGCTGGCTGCTTCTTTAATCATCAAAACATGTTCAAATACTACCTGGTTAACGGGTGTGTGGATAACAGAATTGATAATTAAGAAATCAGCACCTGCATCACCATAATATGCTATTGTGCTTCTAGTTATAGACTTAAATGGGTGTTGAAGAAGAAATTACTTATTTGCAAATTGCATTTCTCTATTACAGTATCCTATAATCTGGAACTAAAAAGAAAAAAGTCTTCTAGCAGTATTGACCTAGTTTCTCCACTGATTTTTGTAAGGAAGAAGCTTTTATGAAATGACAGTATCATCTATCTTTTTGAAGATGCAAACTGGTATGAAAGATGCAGAGAGATGACAGTTATTTTGCAGAAGATCATGGTGCTGTAAGACACTCAACACAGGTTACAACAGACAGTGTCTAATTTCACCACCTAACAGAAATAACCCATCTGCTCATGCACATACACACACACATTCCCCTCCACTTCTCAGCACAAATGCAAAACTTGAGAACCGTCTTGAACTGTTCAGGAGCTACACTGCCATCACATTATGGCAAACTGCCATTAAAAGAGAACAGCTCTCTCCAGTAACACAGGATCATCAGGATCACAAAAGCTATTGCTAAGAAGTGAAACATGGACGAGATGGCTCAAAAAGGGGAAGCTAGTGAGAAAGGATGGGAGAAAAAGCACACGGTCAGAAGCATATAATCTGTGCTGGTTTTCTTTTTCTTGCAAATCTTTTTTTTTTTTTTTTTTTTAAATAGAACTGACTTGCTAGTAATCCAAAAATTTAACCTCACCTTGGAAAAGTTGAGTATCAGGACTAGCATGCCTGATACATTCAAACAGCACTGCTACACATTTCAAGTGGTACCAAAAAGGAGGAGACACTTAAAGGTTTCCATGCCCCAAATGACACCCACTAGGTCCATCTCTATAGAAACCAAACTACGCTGTGCTACATGTATATGAAGAACAATTTGAAGGGATTAGGTTTGTTCAACCTAGAGAAGAGAATATGCAAGGGGAATCTAATCACAGTTTTCCAATGCCTAGAGGATCGTTACAGAGAAAATGGGGGCACTCTTTTCACAAGGATGCACAGTGACCTGACAAGAGGCAACACACAAAAGTTGTTTCAGGGAAATTCTGTCTGGATACAAGAAAAAAATGCTTTACTGGGAGAAAAAAAATAAATGCTAGAACAGATTGGCTGGAGAAGCAGTAGAATCTTTCCCTCGCTGAATGTATTCACGATCCGGCCTAACAAGGCCCTGGGTAACCTAATATAGCCCCAGCTTCCAGAATGTTGGACCAGAGTTATCTCCAACCCAGACTTCTCTGTAATTCTGTAATATTCTCTCAACTTGCAGAACAAAACAGACCCCTAGACTCTGGTTTGAGCCTGCTCAAGGTTTTAGGAATTACAATTTTTCAGGAAACAGATCTATTTGTGAAATATCCTCCACAGCTCCTTCGCCTGTTCAGAAATACTACGTGGGTCAGCAAGCATTTGCTGAGTTGAATTCGTTTTTCCAATGTAATTAGCAAGACAGTATACACCATCAAAACAGTCTGTAAAAAACACATTGTTTTTCAGGAAGAAACTGTCATTTTTACTTAACTCAAAGCCCACAAGGAGAATATATATAAAATGTAAGGGCAAGAAAATAGCCCCAGTCTCTGGGGAAAAAAAGGATATATTGCGCTTTACAATACAGTATGCTATATTATATTTTCCTATAACTGTGACTCTTAAGATTGAAATTGTAGCTACTGTGCTTTTGGTTATAAGGGCTTCCAAAATCCTAGTATACCAAGGAAAGAAAAAGGGGGGAAGTAAGGGGAGGGGGAGGGGAAGAGAGAGGACTGAAATTTATTTCGGACCATAATGTAACTTAGCAATTGATTTTGGAGCAGCAGATAACTGGCATGTGAAATCATAATCAGCCCAAGAGCTTATTTAAATGTTTACCCGTAAAGACCACCTGATAAAACCCTGATCTGGTTATACTTGTCAGAGAGCACAGAGATGACTTTAGAAAATTTTAGTATGTCCTGGACTAGACTTCGAAAAACAGCATTGATCTAAACAGCCTCCACTGTATCAGATAACCACCAGAAAAGAAATCCTCATACAACATTCTCAACCAGCAACAGGACTGACAATCTTGGGTCACTATCCACAGAAAATATCAGATATTTACATAAAACAATATGCTGGGAAAGAAGCTTCTTTTTTCATTTTGTTTTTCTTCTTAATCAACTTCTACTATGTGTCCACTGCATGTTGGCAGAGGTCTTACATTTGCAAAGAAAGAAGGATCAAATCAAAGAAAAAAGAAATATACAGCCCCTTAAAACTGGTTACGCTGCCTAAGAAACCCAAATGGAGGAAGATGTGTTAGGACAAGGTTATACAGCTTATAATGCAAATGAAACAAATACTGTTTACCTTCACTGGCTGATAATTCTTTAATCACCAGTTTTTATTCCTGGAAGTCTAAATCAGACAGGTATACATGACCAGTTGTTTACTATGCAAAAACCAGATCTCTACATGAAATACAACACTATTTATAAAAGTTATTACCTTATTATACATTGTCATTTCTTAAACTAATCCTCTTTAAACCAACAACCTTATCATAATGAAATGACAAAGTAATTTCAAATAGGAAATATAAAAAAGAAACAGTTGAAGCAAACCTGTTTAATACTCAAAAGAGATGGTTCCCCAGCAGGTCTTTGTTCCAACCTTAGCTTGAGACATTCATGGATAACATTGAGCAGGACTCGGCAGAGGACCAAGAATGCAGGTTCAAAAGATGGTAAATCCATGGATTTCAGCTCCTCCCATGATACAGTGCTGCAGTTTTGCTCACAACAAGGTGGAGAATTTAATAACTGCACGTAATCTGAACACAACATGGGATCTGGAAATTCTGAAAACTGTAACAAGAAATAGGTATCATGAATAGGATTCTTAAATGCTTTAGGATTTAGCATTTGTTTATATTAGCATGCACAAAAGTCCATTTTTAAAAGGTAAGATTCTATTAACTGGCAAATCAACACAGAAATTTCAATTTCTCTTTCTGTTTTCTTTTAAGCTAACTTTTTTTTTTTTTTCCCTTTCTTAATTTCAGGATTACCATCCTGAGGAAAACTATTATGGACCCTTTGGGGTGAACAAAACAATCTCTTACTTTATGTTTCTGTTTTAAAATTATTAAAGCATCCATTAAAGCTGGAGATCACCTCACTACACAGGAAGAAACTGCTGTTTGAGGTTATAATGAACATACAAGTTAAGCCTAACATAATATATAGGATGTATATTCAGGTCATTATAAGATACAATACTTGAGAATGTCAAAACATATTAAAAAAATAAATCAAAAGGTCTTACACTAATGACTACATCTAGACAAACAAGTTCACACTTAGCTATGTCAGGTGACTAACCTCCTTCTTTTTCAAATACATAGTGCATATAATATATAAAACTCCACATTGTAAAGTAATGCAATAGTCAAGAAAGAGTCACTAGCTAAACTGAATAAAACTATTGAAACAATAACTTATGAACTTTGGTAGATGCTAAGAAACTGAAACAAATTAAAAAAGGAAGATAAAATATAAAGAGATCAAGTGGATTTTTTTCAATTAATAAACTTATTTTTTCATCTAAATGAAGATTACATTTAAGTGAAATGACATTTCTAATTAGAGAAAACAATTGAAACTAGCTGAAATAGACATCCTAGATATCTAAACTATATACCTTGTGGTAACATTCTAAGCAAAGCTGTACACGGAGGCACTCTGGGGTTTAACTTATGAAGAAAACTTGGACTGCAATATGTGTGCAGCTCAAAAGATAACAATACACCGTACAACATCTAAGGATGAGATTTGTTTCAGATTAAGTTTGTTTCATTCTAATTCTCACTTCACAATGCTAACTATGACACCTGAATATCCTTCATTCATATATTAGACATAACTAGCATTTTTTAGGTTTTTCTTCAGTGCCAAATTTAAATAACATCACTTCAAAGGAGGGGAAAAAAATTACCAGACATTAGATCAAACGATTAAGTGCTGCCTAGAAAGTTAAAAAAAAAAAAAAAAAAAAAATCAAGCCACTTTTAAGCTTATCATCTAGCAGAAAATAAAAAAATAAGAAATTGTTTATTCCTTTACACCTACACACACAGTTTTGACATTTGTGCCTACAGTGTTGTACAAGCTCTGCTTTCTCAGAAGAGCCACACAAAATTACAGCTAGTCAGTTTTCTTAGTGTTTTTATTTTTTAATATTGTGATGTTTCTCAACTGTCATGGGGGATGGAATAGCATATTCATTACTGTCTAACGTTGGCACGAAACATTATATGCTGCAGATTAAGTGGTTTATAAAACCACTAGCTCATTATGCAGAGATAGCAAACATGCATAAGTGGGGATTTCCTCTATACCTAGTTTAGTTGAAGTCTAATCACTAGCTGATCTCAGTATAAGAACTTATCTTCTTAGATGGTATATTAATGTCGTCTTTTTACTCTCTCTCTTTTAAAGAAATGCATAGCACCAGAATAGCACCAGAGCTAAAGATCATGAAAATACTACATTTCTACTGTACAACAAAATATTTAAGAAATACGATCCTCATTGTGATGCAAGCATAGCGTCGGAAAATTTAGTTCTTATAAAAATATTAAAGAACTAGTCTATAAGCAAAAATAACAAAATTGAATAATTGTGTTATTTCATTTTCTAATATTAAGAATAACAGCACGTGACATTAGGGCTTAGTATTAGACACGTAAATTTCTATTGTTCAATTTGACTAATCTTAGTCTTCAGCGGGCCAATCTGAAATGTTTCAAGTGACTACCAAATACTTCATAAAACCCCCCAAGAAAACAAGGTCCAAGCCATTTATTGAGATCATACACAAAATCCATACTCAAAAGTGCAGCGAGTTAATAAACAAACAGGGTACACAGGCTTGAATACTGTTTACTAAAATAACAACTCTGATTTCGTAAAGAAATATTAGCCATTCTCTTTAAGAATCAAATCATACAACTTCTACATAAAATACTCTATCGTGCCCCAAGCCTTGTTAATGTATCAGAGCCTATGACAAATGAAATTTGTACTTTACAAAACACTAAGACCAGCCATCTGTATAAACATTTACATACATTTAAGATGAAATGAGCATTAAAATGCATACAGTGGAAGAATCCAGAAAGCACATTTTAGATGAAAGACAGTGTTTAAGTAACAACAGAAATGAAAGTATGTCCAGAGATTTTAAAGTGTATGTACACACATGAACACAGAGTCAAGATATAGAAAAAAGCAGAAGTAACCAAGATTAACAAAACACTAACAGCTCTGCCTGCATACAAATATCAAACTGAACTGCACTAAAAAAATCCCACGACACTGCATTCAAAGTACTGTCAGAATGCAAAGACCAACCAACTCAAAACCATCTCTCTTCTATTTTAGTCTGATGTCATCTTTTGCTGCAGTAGGTACCACACTTCTGACAAATAGGGTTTTCTTTTTTTTGACAGCATTCTTTTAATTTTGGGGCAGGAAAGAAGTTTACAATTTTATAATATTCAGCTTTAGTCATAAAGCCATTTCTTAAAAGATGACAATATTCCAAAGAAAATGTAATAACTGAAAATGTACATTCAAAGAAGTCACAAGTGTAGAGAAGGAGGGAGAAAAGATTAACCTTACATCTTACACAAGTCATCCAACGTTAAATCACCAAAAAGTTTAATTCTGCGAAGCTGCAGCAGAGACTCCAGCTACTAGTGTTTCATTAACTTATTTTAAGAACCCTTATGAAGTCAAAACGTTTGAGGTATTTAGCAATTTCAAAAATACATTCTAAGTAGTTTTCAATACCCTCAAATTATGTTTTATTTCCTTTGGTTTTTTAAAGGTATTTCTACCTATATATTAAGCTGAACTTTCTAGCTAAGTATATATGGTTTGGGGGTACTTTTGGTTACTGTAATGGATACCTGCAGGTTTTGCTTAGGCATGTGACTCTCTAGAAATACACAAAGATTTTCTTAATGTAAAGCTTCCTAGAACACAAGTGGAAACCAATTAGAGAATAAATAAAAATTTAACTAACAGCTTCATTTTTTACAGTAATATCTACATTAGCAACATATGAATAAAAGCTTTTTCAAAATCAAAATAACTTTATAAATATAAATTTATTCATCCTAAAGAAAATAACCTCCAACGGAGATAAATAATTCTTGCTCCTTTTGCAAATGTGACAGCCAACACTAAGAGAGCAGCAAAGTGTCAAAGACCACATGTGGTATCCATATCAGAACGGGAATGTTGGCTAAGAAATTCCTTCATCCAGAATCCATGGTTAGGCCCCACACACAGTGCCATTTTATCGAGGAGGGCAAGTAATCCTTACTAGTAGTTCTTCCTAATATAAAAATGCCTACAAGTTAGGTAACAGTTTATATTAAGAAATAATATTCTGCCTTGAAAGAATTAGTGACTACAACTTACCACATGAAACTTCAGCTACTGTCCTTTTACTGCTTATTTCATAATGTTGTTTTTATTAACACACATTCTTAATTAAGAATATAAAATGACCCAAAGGAAAAAAAAAAAAAAACCAACACACACACACACACACACACACACACACACTAAGAGCCAGCTGAAGAATGTAACATGCTAACATGACTTGTTTTCATAGATTTCAAAGTTAAGACAATCCATTCATTTATCCAACCTGGCCTCAAGCATAACATGCCACGACAGTACTTCACTCATTTAGGTAAGGAAAAACCCAAAATAGTGGCGTTTTCATAAAGGATGTCTTGCAGAGAGATATCCAGTCTTGAAGACAAGAAAAGGAAAATGCCTGCTTCCATAGCTAATTTTTCTCACAATTCAACTTTTGTGCCTAATTTTCTATTGTCATTTTTCTGACTTACGGCTTTCAACATTAGAAAATGTAATGAGTAAAGATGCGATCATAAAAATGTCATTTGATTACAAAGAAGAAAGGAGGACTAGCTTGGGCTTCCCGCAAATTCTAATTCAGGTCAAATGACAGATTAATTTCTGTGGAAGCAGAACTGGGCTCTAATCACAACATACACTATCTTTCAAAAACCAAGAAAGCAACCAAAACTTTCATAAGAACCCAATTCCTCCAGTTTCAGTTAGAAACAATACAGCAGGGGAGATACTCCTGTCATGCATTTACACTAGTAGCAACCTACCTCCAGCTGGTGATCACTCCTTACCAACGCCATACGGGCCCTTTGCAATGAACCATGCATTAGCTTGTGCAGTCTTAAAATTAGCTTCCTCAACCCCATTTGCTTCAGTGCTTTATCTACAAATGGCCTGTAAATAGAGGTCAAACAGTGTTGGCTGCAGCTTGCCTCAGCACTGCATTCTGGAATAACCCAAGAGGTGGAGTCATCCTCAGATTCAAGCCTATCAAGCCTCCTTGAAAAATGGTCCTGAAAGTCAAAATTTGGCTTATTAGTAAAATTGTTCTTGATGGCTTGTCTAAGTTCCTCAACATTCTCCTCAGATATTTGTTCTTCACCATCACTCTCCTCTGTGCATGTTCCTGAGGATTCCTTTACTTCTGTTTCCCTATCAACTTCACCCTCTGGATCATTGTCCTTAGATGGTCGAGGAGAAGGAATTTCAAACACTGGCCAGCCAATGTCAGAAAGATTTTTGATGCCCAGTACAGTTCCCATAATCCTTAGCTTTTGATTTAAGTCTTTTGTAATATTTAACCATAGGCAGAGCGCCTGCACTCTGTCTTGGAAGTCCTTTGCAGCATACTTTTCATAGTCCTTTTGAAGAGCCTGCAGAGACGGATAAAGTGCTTCTATATACTCTAGCAGCTCCATTATCCGCTTTACTTGCTCAAATGAGACCCGCTGGCGATGGAGGTGTTCATGGTAACTTGAGTAACCCAAAGCACTAGTTCCATGTGTTGCTTTGCAAACTCCTTCTCCTGAAGTACCATTGAGACTGGCTCCATTTTTTACACAGGAGAAGCTTCCATAGTTCACTCTGAAGGTGAGGATTTCATTGATGATATCAGGGATAGCTTGACGGGCTGCATAGAGATAGAGGTCTTGGTCATTAATGCTCCGGCCAGCATGCCAAGCTTGCAGCTCCAGCCAGATCAGTTCATTGGATCGGTTCAGCCAGACAGAAGAGGTGTTTTCCTGTCCTCTTTGCTCCCTGTCCTTTTTCTTTGAGACTGAGGTAAGTTTTAACAAAAGCCGCAGGGTTTCAAAGAATTTTAAGCGGTCTGCCGGGCAATCAGTCCTAGAAGACTGGCGCGCAGTTCTGGGTATTGGCATGGGCACAGAGACTGGAAGCTTAGCATTGCTACAGCCAAGGCTGAGGTAAGGCTTATTGAGATCAACATCTGGAATTGTTTTTTTTGGCAGAGACCCACCAACTGAGTCTAACATAAATGAGCACTGCACATTTTTCTTGTGATCTCGTTCTGTTGTCCTTAGGGTGTCTCGGATCTTCTTCCCTTGCTTATAGCTATGCTCCTCCACATTCTCAATCATTTTCCCATTGTCTTTATGCACAGACTGAGTTGGCACACTCATCTTTTCTGTAAGAAAAGAGAAAAAAAATAAAAGAATGTAACTGCAGCAACAAGAAAAACATTGTTCAGTCCAGTTTCTGATCGCATTTCTTAGGCTGAGCATAAAACATTGTTTAATACCAATAAAACAAAATAGGCATGGGTAGAAGTAAAACATAGTCTTGGAAATTACCATTAGTATAGCTAAATCAATGATAGCACCAAAGGAATTTTTTTTCTTGTCTTGCTTTACCTCTTCTTTTGTAGAAAGGACCTCAGAGAATTCTCATTATCCTGAGTATGCCATCTACTGAGAACTGAGTATGACCAAAAGGAAAAGAATGGTTTCCAAGTTCATTTGCCATACATTTGTCACACAACCTCCCAAACAAAACCACAAAATGCAACAGAGCATTATTAAGGTTTCCAGGTCAAAGAGAATTAAAGAGACTCAGTTGCACATGTAATTTCATAAGAACTGGAACATGTACAGATTCTGAAATTAGGCTTGAATGATCCAATTCTGGCTCCTGCGGGGCTTGATCTTAGTTCTGGGAACCCCTCTGTAGTCTTAATACACTGCCTTAACACCAGGAGCCTACTTCCCCACTCTCCCAACACACAAACACTCGCCTTCTCCCTTATCACGTAACAGCAGCCCTTTCCTGCCTAATTGTGCGATCTCCTCTTCCCATTCTTTCCTCAGAAAAGGAAGTTCTTTTATCACTCTTCTGCAGCACTAACAAAAGCACTTCAATCTAGGCCTTGCAGACTGGGACAGGAGGAATTACTTGGTATTAAAGCAGTGGTTCTCTCTCTCTCAAGGAATTGGTGGCAGGCTGGAGAGAAGCACCTGTATGTAGACTAGCTGCAGCCCTGGGACCAGCAGTTGTAACACAACAAGCTACATGGCTACAGGGCCCCCGCTTATTCAAGAACAGAAGACCTTCAGAACGATGGTTGAACACTTTGTCTTCTTTTTACTGTTCACTGTGACTGATTATCTGCTGCACATGGCTCATTCCCCACTCTAGAAGTAGTAATTTCCTTAGAGTCTTTGCTACTGTGCTCCTCACTACAACATCCATTAATACTGGAAATACTAATAAGCTCATTTGCAAAACAGGCCTGCTCAGTGGAAGAATAATATTATTCCCTTTCTATATATGGAAAGTCATGATAGAGAAAGATCTGTCCAGCCAGCGTACTTCTGGGTGCCAAAAATGGGAAGAGCTATCGCTCAACATTTCAGAACATTGAGCGCTTTGTGTTCAATACTCCCTGACTTCAGTTGCACCTTGAATTCTCAACAGTTTGCAAACCACATCCCAGAATCTCTAGCTTCCTTCTAGGAAAACAAGAAACAGAAGATTTTAGTTTGTGCTATTTGCCTAGCATCACACAAATTTTCGTGACAGAATGCTGTTATCATATGATGCACTTTACTGACTTAATTATCAGATGGCCCTTCATTCTTGTTTCATTCACTACATATCTTCCAGCATCTGCAACAAAAGAAGGTACAGTCGTACAGAAATCCATTTCCTTCATCACAAAATTCCAAACAATCTCTACTTATGTAATACAGCAGTTCTATGGAAAATAACTGGTGTGGTAATGTAGCTCAAAGACTATCAAATGTATGCACACAAAGGCATTGTATTAAGGTTGCAGAGACGTCTGAAATGAAAGTGGAGAGGTACGTGGTCAGAGCACCTTCCTTAGCTTGTTTCCATTACAAACCCTGTTTTCAGCTGTTAATGAGCAGTAAGTGAGTTAATAAGGGCATGACCTGCCACACTGCCTCCTTCCAATCCCCATATCTAAAAAAATATAATTTAACCCTTGCCATAGTTGTATAGGATTGGGGCACGTCACAATGCCTACAGTGGCACTTAACTCTGGAAAAAAAGTAATTATATTCTGAAGGATACAAGGAAGAAAGAATTATCACAAAGTGACCACAGGAACTGTTTCTTGCAAATACGGACTTTATTAATGCCTCTTATACTACTTTTATTTCAGATATCCATACATCTTTCTCTGAATAACTACCAAGTACAAGAGCAGATGGCACAAAAACCTAACTCAAACACAGTTTTTCTCCTGGCAATGGAAACCTATCAGTGATTCAAAGAAACTTGCTATAGAATTCACTATCATTGCTTTTACATTTATCTACTGAAACACTACTGTCAGACAGCGGTACCTCACCCCCACTGGTTACTAACTCAGGAGGTTAACCAGCACCAGACAGGACACAAGACTAAAAGTCCTGTGCGCATATCTGCTTGAATTTCATGCCACAGCTGGCACTGCCATGAAGAGGCAACAGCCCAAAAACCTAGGACAGGCAAGCAGCAGGAAGACACATTCTGCATTGGCAGTAAAGAAGGCGGCAGATGAGGGAGGTTGGCAGAGATGAAACACACATGCATACACCCCCACCACCATCCCTAAGACTCTGAGGTAGATCAGAAATAGATCAACTTTTGTGATGTTCAAGATTTTGGTGACCTTGCAAAATAAGTAAAAACCCTGGCACATTTAAAGATCACTTTCTGAACTTACACTGTAGCTACCAGGAAGTCCTCTAAACTCCTTCTGTTTGTATTTTTAACATTCTATTCTCCTTCAATATGAATCTTCAGATTCCCCACTCCACCAAAACACATTGAAAGAAAGGTAAGTTAAAAACACAATTCATTATTAGACACCCAAAATGCCTTAATACTTGAATATTCATCATTCTTAACAAAGCCCAAGCACAATAATCTACAAATTGTTTCAAAATCCTCTCATTTTATCAAATAAACAGATGCCAATGATTCAAATATACCTGACAATTCTGCAATAAATAAGTATCAATGTCATAACTGTATGAGTTCCTACTACGAATTCGACTGCAGTTTTGTAATATAGACTTAAACTAACTTGTAAGACAAGTTCAGCTGTAATAACAAATTCTGAGTTACAATTACCTTTAGTGTTACATGGGGCAGGTAGGTTTCACGACTAAGCAATGATTGGTTGGCGAGAGGGAGCACATGGTAGAGTCTGAGATCTGAAACAGCTTATTAAAAAAAAATGATAAAATGAACTTGAGGAACTTGATGGGGGTAAGAAAATGGGGTGGACAGAGGTTCCCCTTCAAGTATGAAGTTGCAGAAGTTTCATACTAAAAAGCAAACAGGGGCAATTTTTTTTTTTTTTTTTTTTTTTAAAATGTAGTCCAAGAAGCTAATACTTCAGTAAGTAAGCAAGCGTCACTGGACTGACATTCCATACCCTCCAACTGAGGAAAAACAGGCAGGAGACACACGTCTTAGAAGCAACTCTGAAATGCATTTCGCTTAGAAAACATAAATCCCATGGGTCTTGGGCTGGAAGGGAAAGGATTCAGAAACTACTTTAAACAGATTATTGCATCAGTTTATTTTTCTGGTACTAAATGCAAGTTATAAGAAACTTGGTGTGACAGAAATTAAACAAAGATTGGAGATGCAAGTGAGCAAGTCTCTAATGCCCAAAATTCTTTCAGTTGTCTAAATAAAGATAATTAAATCTGTGTTATATGTAAACATCCCAAAAATTATTTCAAATTTAATTTTTAAACTGATTAGTTATATCAAACTAACCCCTGAATGAATTCTCTTACTGAAGTAAAACCAATTCAATCTCAATAACAGCTTATGCATACAAATTCAAGGTCAATCAACTAATCCACTTTGAAGTTGTTGGTTTTGGGGTGGGCTTCTGTTTTTTTTTTCCCCCTTCCTTTTCTACAATACAGCATAAATTTTCTGAGATTGTACATATAGGCAGAGTTAAACAAAATAAACTATGAACTTTCCAGAAAAGAGATTTTACACAATAAAACACTATCCAACTCATCAAAAAAAAAAAAAAAAAAAAAAAAAAAAAAAAAACCAACCAAACCCACCAAACCCAAACCCAACCCACCACAACATATTTTAAAATACACTCACGGTGATCAAGAACAGGGTATTATTATTCCAGAAGCAAGAACCATTCCCCTCACAAGTAGAAAGAAGGAGACCTTGCTCCAAAAACTCAAAATCTATTAGCAGGGATAAACAACAGCTCCCTACTTCTCATAAAGGTATTGATCCTCAATACATGTTCAGCACCAAAGGGTTATTATGAAATATTAGGCATTATAGTTCTTTAGTATCACAATTCCTCCATTTAGAAACTAACCTTTTTTTTAAAGCACAGAAAGAAACAAGAAAAAAAATCACAGAAAGCAAGGAAAGTTATTATATAACTACCATATACAGAACTAAATAAAGTTAATGTTGCATTATAAGAGTTTAACTTAGCCAAAAGGCACAATTAAAAGCCAGTGAAAGAAGCTTAGCAACTCCAATGCCTACATAGCTAACTGGCAAGTATAATTAGATTTCTCTTCAATTTAGTTTAAGGAAGAGGTCTTTTGGTGAATGCTGTCTTCACAGTGACATTATTTAGAGGCTGTATGAAATGGAAGGGAACCAAAAGCTTTGGCAGATGTTTGCGTGGGCCCTTCTCTTATGAGCTTGCACTCCACAACTCTATGCAACTGAAGAATAGACTGTATTCCCTTATTCACACTAAACCATTTACGTTCTTCTCCCCTACACTTTACCATGAAAATGTAATCCTTGCAAGTAAATGCACTCTGTGATAATGTTTCCTGTTTCATATGAGGCAATTTTAAAAATTGCTTCCAGTATTAACTGGCAATAGTCAAGCTGCCATAACAACCCTGGCAAATAACCTTGTCTGACACTGGTTGGCTTGGGTTTTTTTTTTTTTTTTTAAAACCTAAAAAACCCACACACACCCCCCACAAAAAAAACACACACACAAAACACCCAAACCTAGGTATATTCTCTATGAAAATACTGAACACACGATCTTAAAAAATGGCTTTTTTGCACCCATCACAAGCTCAGCAAAACCACTAAAAATTGCACATTTTTTTCTTGGAAGGGCAGCTTGAAAAAATGATGTAGCTACTGCATGTTTTTTAAAACTACCTTTTCAGTAAGCAATTACCATATTCTGTATCTGCTCAAAATTAAAGAAAGAAAAGCTTAATATTTATACTTCAACCTAAAAATGTTTTATTTAGCATTAGATATCATTACTTAGTAACATTAGGAAAAATCACATATCAAGTATCTTTTGTTTTTTTCCCAGTTATGACTTTATGACTAAAGCCTCAACAGAAGTAAACAGCTGTAACTACAATTTAATTGCTTCAGTGACACTACAGATTAAAGAATAATCACTGAAACTATTTTTCTATAAAACAGACTGTGAAGTGCCTCAGAACATGAAATTGGGGCAGAGAAGCAACATCACCATTGCTAGAGACCATAGAACTGCAGAAAAAAATTGGCTGGAAAATACCTCTGAAGGTCATTTTTTCCAACCTCCTGCTCAAAGCAGGATTTATTTTAAAACTAGTTTAGCCTGCTCATGATCTTATCCAGTTGTGTTTTGGAATCTACAAAGACAGAGATTCAATAACCCAAAAACGTCTCTGGCAAACTGTTCACTGTTTGACCACTCTCATGGTAATTGTTTTCTTCTAATACCCAAAAGACTCTTGCCTTGTTCCACCTTATGACAGCTGCCTCCTGTCCTTTCGCTGCACCTCAGTATCTGGCTCCATCTTCTGTATATCTCCTCCGTCAAGTAATGAAGGGCTACTACTATGCCTTTATGGTCATTTTAGGAAAAAAAACAAAACACCACACTTACCTTTCAAAGTGGAGCGGCTAGCAGGTCTCCCAGTGTTATTTTTCTGATGCTTTGTTGACATACGCTTCATCTGGCGGGGTGTACTAGGAGGAGAAGTTCCATAGAAGGTGTCAGTACTTGCTTCATCTGATAATTCCTCAGGGTCAGATTCAGAGATCTTGCAAGTAGCATCTTCTGATTTGCACTCTTT